TTTATTTCTTTTGGAGCTTATACATATATATATTTATTTATTTAAATTAAATTGATCCGATTTTGATGGAAAGAGAAAAGTTGGAAGTGTTAATATTCGACATGTATAATTTTTTTTGTGAACATTTTATGCAAATATTAGGTGATGATAAAGGAGAAGGGGAGAAGGGAATACCAGTTTTAAAAACGTCATATAGGCGACAATTATTGTCTGTATTCAGCAGCACTAACCCGCAGCAGCAGCAGCAGCAGCAATAACAACAAAAAGCAATAACGATATGTTTATACGTTCAAGATTCTGAATCTTAACGTCAAAAAAGATGTTTCTGTTATTTTTCTTATTTTTACTATCTGCTCATTCTTTTTTCTCAACTTTTTCTTGTTTCTAAATCAATCAGTTTTTGTTGTTGCTGTTGTTTCTGTGATCATTTACATAAAAACATCATCACTGCTTTCTATCTATCTATCTGCCGTTGTTGTTTTTGGTTAACTTTATCAATGAAATAAATGTGAGCAGAAATGATATCGTTGTTGGTTTAAATTCGGTTGACTACATTTTTTTTTCATCGCTATTCAGCCGAGTTTTGTGCTTTTTAGCTTATTGGTTTTTTAAATTCGTAAAAAAAAAGTAAGACAAAACTAATTTAAAGGTAGAAATTTTTTTTTTTTTTTGTTTTAAAAGTTATTAGATTTGTATAACTTATTTCTGCTGCTCTAAATTAATTTTTATTGAACTGTTTACTTGTTTATTTTGCCTCTGTTTTTGAAAGATTAACATATTCAAATTTTGTGAGCAGTTTTGTTCTTGTTTGTAGGACTATTCTTTTTGCAGTTAAAAAAATTAAAAAAAATTGAATGTAGCAGTTCACATTAAAAAAAAAAAAAAAAAAGTGTTAGAAAGTTGTTTTTTTGCTTTATTAAAAAACAGAAAAGAGAAAAGTTTATTTTATTTTTTTCAATTTATTTCTATTTAAATGCATTTTTGAAATTCAAAGCTTCCATTAATTAATACACTAGCATTACTTTTTGTTTCATACGATTGAGCTCAAATGAGTTTTTTTGTGTCGATTAAAAACGCATCGCTTCAAACTGTGTTTTTTTTTTTTTAAATTCCACTGATATTTGTTCCAGTTAATGTTGATTATCTCGGATAAGGGACGAGGGGCCCGAGGAGACTGGAGATAAGAAGAGCAAAGGGGGAGGAGAGAGAGGTGGAGAGACTAAGGCGAAATTAGAGAAGGGCAGATAGACTGGAACTGAGGTGGACAAAGTGAGATTAAAGGTGCACTAATAATAAGGCAATTTGCAACTTTAAATAATTGACAAAGTTTAAATTTTCAAAGGAACCAACTATGGGATGTTAGTTGCTGGATACCTGCAGAAGGTCCAAACTGCTTCTGTGTATCCGAGTATTATATGTGTGTATTTTTATGTATGTTTGTGGGGTTGCTGTGACGACTGATGTCGAAAAGCTTGGTGTTAAGAGACTAAGAAGTCTGAAGGAGTAGCGGAAACGATGTCCCCAACGGCGGCCCTCTTAAAAAAATAGTTTCCGCAAAGGACACACAGCCGTTATAATCACTTGAAAAGATCTCTCTTTCAATAAAATCCAAAATCAAATTCTCATCGCACTTTCCTCCTCTCTTTTTTTTCTGCTATCTTTTCCTGCAATTTTTATTTGTTTATTCACTTTTTAAATCTTTGTTTCTTGCCTTTTATCATCTTTTGCTTGGCTTTGTGATTTTCTTCCGTGTTGATGGAGGGATTAAAATATATGAAAACGAAGCTGTGATGAGAAAAAGAAGATTTTTTTTTCTTGTTAACAAATGGACAAATTAGTGTTTTTTCTTCGCACTTTTTGACTTTGTTTTTTGGTGTTTTTT